ATTATAAAGTGTTGAAACAGTGTTGTGAAAGTTTTCCTGTTGCTTTGTAGTGGAAAGTAGTGTATTCCAGTGTAAATATAGTTTAAAATGGGTAATAAGAAGAGAGTGGGGACTAAAAAACTGTGTTATAAGAAGAGGACTGTTATTCGTGACAAGAAACCAGTTGTGACTCCAGGTAATGAACAGGCTAGGCCTAGGCCTACAACCAATCCTAAAGTTGTTTCTACCTCTAATGTGAAATTGAGCCCTAACCTAGCCTGCTATGAAGATTCTAATGATACTCTACTGTATGATATAGTAAACATTGAGCAGTTGGAATCAGTTTTATCAGATGTTGCAGTGTGTAGGGTTTGTCATGGCAACCTATCATTCTCCCGAAAACCTTTAGCCGGGCTCGCTGTACAAATTTCTATCACTTGTAACTGCGGCATGGCCAAAAGTTTCGACAACTGTACCAAACTTACAGACACTAGGCCTAGTCAGGAACTAAGTAAAACACCATGTTACTATGATTTGAACCTGCGATTAGTATATGGCTTGCGAGTAATAGGGAAGGGCTACACTGCTGCGCAAACTCTTTGCGGTATGATGAATTTACCCGCACCGCCTACAAAGTTTAATCAGCAAGAACAGTTTTTATCCAGGCACGTAGAACTTATTAGTGAAGAATCAATGAAGAGAGCAGTAGAAGAGGCTATAATTGAAAATGGGAATTCTAAAGACCTATGTGTTGCAGTCGACGGGAGTTGGCAAAAGCGAGGTCACACCTCGCTAAATGGTGTCGTGACCCTAACTTCGGTCGATACTGGCAAAGTATTAGATATTCATTCAATGTCAAAATACTGTGACTGCCCCAAGAGAACAGAAAATGAACACCATGCACAATGTAAGGCCAATTACATAGGTAGCAGCGGAGGGATGGAGGCTGAAGCGGCTATCACAATGTTCTCACGGTCTGAGACAAAGTACGGTGTCCGCTATCTGGAGTACCTTGGGGATGGCGACTCCAACGGCTATGCGGCAGTTGTGGCTAAGGCACCATATGGACCTGATGTTTCCATTCAGAAGCTGGAGTGTGTCGGCCACGTGCAGAAGAGGATGGGGACCAGGATTCGTGATTTTATAAAAAGTAACAAAGGCATGAAGCTCGCCGACGGCAAATCGCTTTCTGGGAAAGGTAGGCTGACAGGAAAGGCCATACAAAAAATCCAAATATACTACGGCCTAGCCATTCGTAGAAATACACATAGTGTAGAAGCAATGAGACGAGCAGTTTGGGCTTTATACTGCCACGTGGGGTCTAGTAATGAACGCCCTCTTCACATATTGTGCCCCGACTCTGACGACACGTGGTGCAAGTACAACAAAGCTAAGAAAGAAAAAACAGAATATGATCACAAGAAGCACTTCCACCTCCCTACTTGTCTTATGACAGCAATCAAACCTATTTTCAAGGCTTTATGCAAGACAGAGCTGCTGAGTAAATGCCTCAAGGGGAAATCACAAAATCCGAATGAGTCGATGAATAATGTAATTTGGTCTCGACTCCCTAAACGCACTTTTGTTACCCTAGGTGCTCTTAGGCTAGGTGTATATGAAGCAGTCCTATCATTCAATGATGGCTACAGCTCTAAAGTGAAAGTTTTAGAGAATATGGGGCTAAAACCAGGTCTGAACATGCGGCTAGCTCTAAAACGCCTCGATGCTCAGCGGATCCGAAAAGCGGATAAAGCGGCTACCGACCTAGAAAAGAAAATCAGGCAGTCAAGGACATTGGCCAAAAGGAAGCTGGAGGATCTCTATCAGGAGGCAGAGGATCCAGACAACCCTTCCTACAGTGCAGGCCATCATTAACTCAAGGTATGAGACAAAAACATGCAATCTTATCGCTTTTCCTCGATTTTCCGAAACTTGCATTTTTTGAACTTTGAGTACCCATAACTCAAAAACTACTTGGCCTACCTCAGTCAAACTTTTACACAATATTTTACATACTATTTTCTAGTTCCTCACATGGGTATTTATACATATCTTTAAGTTATGAGGCAAAATAAAAAAATTAAACTTAAAAACCATAGTTAAAAAACAGTTTTTTTTAAAAACGTCGTAACTTTTTTAATTTTTTCTAAAATTTAAAAATGCCATGTAGGGAACTAGTTTATAATCTATAAAAATAAGGCAAAAATTAAGGGTTCCCCGACTAATTTGCCTTATTTTTACACAAAAACCGGTATATTTCAGTTATCTTTTGTCCGATCTTTTTGATCTTGGTATCGTTTGATAGGAAATTAACAATGCTAAAAAAAAGTATTTTTGACATTTTTTCATAGAATTAGCCGTTTTCGAGTTATTTAAGTTAGAAAAATTCAAACGGCCGCCATTTTGAAATTTACAATCGGAACAACTTTATTATTTTTTCTATTATAGGTCTTGTGTATGGTAACATGTTTACCAAGTTTCATAATCATCGAATAAAAAACTTCACAGATAAAAATATTTTTGTGTAAAAAACAAAATGGTGGATATCTGGGTAAATATGGATTTTCGGACATACCTTCCCATAAACTTTTTTCTTCCTTTTAGTATGAGGATTCATTTCCCAAAGTCCTGAAACGTTTTTTATGGACACCCTGTATATTGTCTTTCCATTTACAAAGTTAACATCCACACATATCAATCATTAGTTCATTATCTCAGTCTCAATCCAATTTTCTTAGTTTATTTTAAAGCTCTTCCAAAGAGTTAAAAGACCCAGGCCTGGATCTAATTATTTAGGATGGCCTGTATAAATTGAGTAGGTTACGACGAGGGTAGCTAAATCACTATCATAATTCTTGTTCATAAGATTTAGATTGCATAAAGTACCTTCAAAACAATAAAAAAATATAGGAAACAAAAACATTTAAACCTTAACAGCCACAAATTGTAAACAAAACACGACATCTACAGAAAACCAGACAGAACTAACAATAAAAGTGGCTTCAGCTGTTCCATAAGGATGGCAAGGTATCTGCAATCCTAAAATGTTATGGGAAGGTAAGGAAACAGGTCCGCGACGTAGGAAGTGGTGAAGGAAGTACCGGTGGTCAATGCGAGCCATCCTGAGCGCGGGAACTGTTTATGACGATTAGATTAAAGTATCTGCAATTCTAAAATGCTATGGGAAGGTAAGGAAACAGGTCCGTGACGTAGGAAGTGGTAAAGGAAATACTGTATTAAAGGGGAGCGGTCCCGAGTGTGGTAACTGTCTATGACGATTAGATTAAGGTATATACAATCCTAAAATGCTATGGGAAGGGAGGGAAACAGAGGTCTGCGACGTAGGAAGTGGTGAAGGAAGTAGTAAAGGCGAGTAGTCCGGAGTGTGGTAACTGTTTATGACGATTAGATTAAGGTATCTGCAATCCTAAAATGCTATGGGATGGGAGGGAAACAGGTCCGCGACGTAGGAAGTGGTGAAGGAAGTAGTAAAGGTGAGCGGTCCGGAGTGTGGGAACTGTTTATGACGATTAGATTAAGGTATCTACAATCCTAAAACGCTATGGAAAAAGGAGGGAAACAGGTCCGCGACGTTGGAAGTGGTGAAGGAAGTAGTAAAGTCGAGCAGTACGGAGTGTGGGGACTGTTAATGGCGATTAGATTAAGGTATCTACAATCTTAAAATGCTATGGGAAGGGAGGAAAACAAACATGTCCGAGACGTAGAAAGTGGTGAAGGAAGTAGTCATGGCGAGCAGTCCGGAGTGTGGGAACTGTTTATGAGGATTAGATTAAGGTATCTGCAATCTTAAAATGCAATGGGAAGGGAGGGAAACAGGTCCACGACGTAGGAAGAGGTGAAGGAAGTAGTAAAGGCGAGCAGTGTGGAGTCTGGGAACTGGAAACCAACAGTTAGATTTATGTATCTGCAATTCAAATACTGAAATGCTATGAGAAGGGATGGAAACATGTCCATGACGTAGGAAATGGTGAGGGAAGTAGTAAAGGCTGGCATCGCAGAGTGGGGGAATGATTTTCCCCGAGCAAAGCTCGGTCCCCAGGTACTAAATTATGAAGAGCGTAAACAAACATCTGATAAGACTTTTTTATGTGCTCAGAACCAACTACCGATGACTATGATAAGTAATTTATTATTATAATAGGCTGTACCGAACCAAATTTGTACCGCGTAAAATGCTGTACGGTAATTAAGCTTGTACCATACCGACTTTTTCGGTGCACCGCAGACCCCTAGTTTTTACACAAGTCTTCCATAACCTTACAACAGTGCTAATTACAACCCTGGTGGCAAACCGCAGAACTCAGTAGTGTATTAAGTTTTTCAATAGGCCTACATTGCCTTTTTGATTTGGACCTTCCGCTACTTGCAGCCGGTTTGCTATCTAATTAGTATGTCAGTCATAACCTAAAATTTTGTGGAAAGTTCTTAAAGTCATGTATTATTCCACAACTCAAATTTAAGCATTTCAATTAAGTGCTGTAAATGTATCTAATGATTCTGATTGTTGAGTCTTATTTAATGTTTAAAACTTAATTTCCTTAGAAACCCATTGTTTTCCAAATTTCGCACCCTTCCCGTACACTTTTTTGTGCTGATAAAGAAATTGTCATAAGAGCTATTGATTTTATTATAGTCCGTTCATAAAATGTAGGTGGTTTTAGGGAAAGTTCTCTGGCCACTTTTTTTCTTCTTAATGTATCAGAACTGCTGACAGCTGATTGACGTCAAACCTCAGCAGCTGTTGAGCTATTGTTTTAAGGTAGGGTCAGGTGGAGGGGATAGATTTATTCCTCCAAAACCGCCTAAATCTTGTGAACAGAGTATAGTCCATTATGTATCAAGCATTATTTTTCAATTTGTTACATGTTGTATTACAACACAAATTGTTAAGTCCATGTTCTTATCTTAAAACCTTGCCTAGAACCAATCACGAAAGGTGGTTCTGTATCACTTTGTTTTTTTTCAATGTTTTCACTGCTCTGCTTCATGTTTGTTCCCAGTCGAGGAGGAGCAGCACCAAGAACCTCCAGACGGGAGATGTCTACCTCACCCATCACTCTAACCTGGCAGAGGTCCACGTGGTGTTTCACATGATAGTGGACGACTCTCTCCGATCTAGTGAGTCTCAACATCCTCAACTTTGATCAAATAATACCCTGCGATAACAGAAATACCAACATTAAAAGAACCAACAGTTTAATTCATGTAGGTTAAGCAGTTCGTCAAATCCTGCAAGGGCCTGTACAAGTGCAATCCATATTGAGCTCGGTAATGTGTGGCTTAGCTGAAGTGGAGCCCACACATTTATACATGATTTTTTGCACATATTACGCTGACCTGAAGATCTGTGATAACTGTTCCTGATCAGTGTCAACAGAGTAGAAATAGTTTTTTTTTTTAGTTTTATCAGGAGTCTGACACCAAAGTTTAGCCACCTGAGTGTATAAAGGATTCCTTCATTTTCTTTAGGAATGTTAATGCAACCATTGTAAAACTCTTAAAACTGATTAAATTTCTATGGAAATTACAACAACAAAAAATCAAAATTAAAAACCCCCTGTTTAACTTAATTCCAATAGGCCGTAGGAACAAACAGTGTATTTTTATGGATACACTTTGTAATCAGAGTGTTTTCCTTGTGTTTAAGGTGATATAAACTCGAGACACCCAGCTATCCTTGGACTTCGCAACATCCTCAAGACAGCCTGTTCCTGTGACATCACCACTCTCACCGTGCCTGTGCTGCTGACCCATGAAATGACTGAGGTAAGAATAATGGATCAAGAATTAGGCTGCCAATTTCAAGCTTCTGTGTCACCTTGTGCAAAGTTATACTTGAGGAGGAAGAGAGTTTGACTGATTGAACACAAACTGTGATCATAGGTGCGTCAGCCGCACTGTGGGATTTGTGGCTTGCTTCAGACCAAACTTTATGATCCTGATAACAGGCCTGTGGTTTGCATGTAATGAGCAATGTGCCAGAGAGATATCTGCGGCCTCCCATCCTCCCTTGTTATGAATTAATCATAACATCTACTGCCATAGGAGTTTGACACACACATTCACAACATAACAATGACATTTTATGATGAAGATATAACCATAACAAACATAAATACTAGGGTTTGTATTTTAGTTCAGAACAGTTCGGGAGTTTTCTCACGGTGCAATAAGGGAACCAATCTAAAATTTGTTTTGAAAATCTTTAGTAAAATCTCTTCCAAATGGCAATGATTAGAAACTAAATTAAAGTTGATCAAAGAGATTCCAAAGCCGCAAAATCATTATCATCTCCCATTATTGCGGAAACATCACCATTGTCACTAACGATTACGTAGAAATGGCCGTCAGTTAGAGCCTTGGAACTTCTGATTCAGAAGTATCAGTTTTTGGTGTAATTTCCCAAAATTTAGGGACCCGTCCATCCCAAATACAGGGTTATTACAAATGATGTTCATGATTTCATACATACATGAAATATAGTTTTATTTGTTATACAAAGAAATAAAATGGTTACAACTTTTGAAAAACTCAAAAAGTTTTGACACAGATACACAGAACTGTAAATGCTCGATACGGGAACCCCTTGTGGTACGACAGATGTCAATAATGTAGTCAAGCTCTTGCTAGACTTTGAAAAGTGTGTCTAGGTCCATTGTTTTGATAGCATTGGTAATCCGTTGCTGGATCTCAAGTATGCTTCATAATGGTGGTGTGTACGCCTTATCTTTGATGTATCCCCACAAGAAAAAAATCAGGAGGTGATGTCCGGAGATCTTGTAGGTCAGTTCAGGGGTGTGTCATTATTCGGACCACCAAGCTCGTTCCATATCTCAGGCAGCACATTGTTAAGTTCAGCCCTACTACAAGTAACATTCAAATGCAGCCATTTCTCTTAAATTTCAAGTGTCACTTGCCAATATAGTGGTTACTAGAAGGATAATCGTTAAACCTGGTTCTAAAATGACGTAGCACACTAATAACAGTTTGGTTAATGTAATATTCCAACTGGTAAAAAGCTTTCCTGCCCTCAAATTCAGCCATTACACAACACTTACAACAATCGACTTGACAAACAGCTGATATGCACCCAAACCAATGTAAATGAAACTTTATGAGTTTTTCTTTCCAATGGTACCAATTAGAATAGTCTTGAAACAAATTAACCCAGTAATATTTATAATCAAAATCAGGAACATCATTTGTAATAACCCTGTACATTCAATCATTCTAAAATAGTTAGTAACAAAAACACGTCAATAAACTTATAAGCCAATTGTATTGTTTCTAAAGCGATTAAACAACGCTCAAAAAAAGACAAAGCAACATTCAAGTTGTATCAATAGCAAGTAGTTATAGCAACTGGCAGAGATGAGTCATGAATGAAAAGCGTAACTGCAGAGGTTTCCATTGACTTACGATTTAGAATATTTTCCCTTACTTGTGCTTCCAACAAATCTAAAACCTAATCTGACCCTGCCTGATCTGGCCTACTGCAGAATCCTGCTCGTGGTTGCAATAGTGTTTTTTCTTTCATCAGGAAGCTCTCTGCAGTCAAATAGCAGATTATCCATCATTCCAAAAATTGTAAATTTTGGCAACAAACCTTCAGAGTAAATTATTTAAAAAATAGACCTATGAAACTGTCTACTATGTGTTGCCAAATTTTGATAGAATACAATCAGCTGTAAAAAACCGCTAATTTAATTAATTTTTGTCTGGCCAATTCTATCCAGTTTACTCTAGTTGACTAAGTTTCATCTTCTGATTCAGCCTAACACTCTATTCACGTTGTTTGGCTTTTTCCAAAATATGAGTACTTTTAAAATAATGATAGTCAAGCAGTATCAAAAGTTTTGTTCCAGGAAATGACAGTGGCGTGGTGCAACAAACGAGCAGAACTTGTGTTCAAGTGTGTGAAAGGCTTCATGATAGAAATGGCGTCCTGGGGTGGATCTGATTTGAAAAATCTACAGTTTTTGGTTCCTAAGGTAGGTTTTGCAGCCTTTGATTTCTGTACATACCTTTACACACTTTACAGCTTTAAAGCTAGTTGTAGCAATAGTATAAAATAATTGTACAGATTGACTGGACAAATCCTTAACATAATCAAAGGTTTTGAATCTTGATTACCTAAGCGTTACAAATGTTATTGATTTTTTAGGATAATTTTTAATAAAACTAACATTATTGTTGCCTACAGGGTATTTCGGAGGACGTTTTTGCTAGCCTCGCTGCTATGTTGCCAAGCATTTTCCGTGTTTCGAATCCACTTGTTTTCAAAATGTCACCACCAGCTCTACAATCCAACACAAAACAGGATAAAAAAGATAAAAATAACAAAAACAATAAATAAAATAAGTGTATGATAATGTAACTATGTAAAATAGTCATGATTGTTTGATTGAAAAGTGTTACTGACAGTTCACGTTTGAAGTGCCAAAAATATAAAAAAATATAAACATTGGCTTCTTATGACATAATTTAATCGGACATAACAAGAATATGTGATCAAAAGTCACCACGAGTCGAATTGGCTGATGATGGTTTATATGAAATTGTTATTTGTTAACATTTATTTGATAATAGTAGTTTACGCAACGATTGCGTTAAGTGAGTCTTTACGACACGAGTAGAAAATTTAAGGCACGAGCCTTGGCGAGTGCCTTAAAAACTTCTACGAGTGTCGTAAAGACTATTAACGCGAGTTGCGTACACTACTTTACCTACGACCGTTTTTTAATTACTATCAATCTGGATTTAATTACTAACAATCACTAATGATAACTTTTTAGAGAGGTTATGTTTTCGTGTATTGTCATTGCCACTGAAAGTGATGCAACAACTTGTTGTATAATCAGCTGATTTCCTGTAATTACGTGTTTGTTAAACTTCGTTAAATATTACATTGCTAGCAGCATTCTTACCATAAATAATATTGTATCAGGTACATTTCGGCAAATATTTCATTTATTTTTGGACTTCCACCAACTTAATTAAGAATACGCGAGTATCAACATGAACAAGTCGGATCAACAATTAAATTGGTCAACTGATCAGCTGATCAGCTGATTAGTTGACGTTCGAAGCATTACAATTTTAATTCTTTTCTCTCAATACTTGAACCTCATTGGTCCGTTACCTGTGTGGATATGAGAAAACTATGCGGATATGAAATGAAACTATGCGGATATGAAAGTAAACAGCTGTAAAGTGAAACTTTTCAATTCTAAGAACTGGACTGAAATGGCTACTTTAAAAAACGGTCGTAGGTAAACATAATTTTTAATTTTTCTCGTTACAGAAAATTTATGTTATTATTGAAATATCATCGTTTGAGGAAGTAATAAATACATATTTGACTGGTTTAAATATAAATTAAGTTATACTTCTTTATAAGCTTTGAGTAATAGTGAAAATTTGTTGAATTTAGAGTATACATAACATTATTCAGTACCGGAAGTTAAGGTTATGCCAATCAACAGATCAACTGTTATTTGAATTAATCAACTCTCAGAAGTCGACTAATTCTAAACCGTCAAACTTCGTCAACCGTACAACAAAGAACCATTTGAAGATGGGTAATATTGAGAGTATTTCAAAGAAAGTCGTGGAAAAGTTGAAGAAATACTTATTGAATTTCAAGGAAAAACTTTAACTGTGCTGTCAGACAACATCTAATAATGGTTTCGATTGAGGCCAACTTCTTAGAAAAACGTTTTAATTGAACATCTGGATAAAAGTTCATTTTATTTATACTTTTAAAAAGAAATATATTTTCATTTAAATAATCTATTTTAGTTGTATTGTTAGAAAATACTATGTTGTAATTGATAGTTCAAGTCCTTCTGTAAATATTATTTTTTATTTTCAATAGGCTATTCAACCAAACTAAACACAATAAATAGCTTCTGGTAGTATACTGAGATTTGTTAACTTACAGAAAGTTACCTGTTTGCTGTGTAATTTAAAAAATTGCATTCTGTTTTTTATCTCTTTTCAAATGTTTAATTAGTTTAAAATTTAATGTATCATAGCCTAGTTAAATTGCATTATTATTGTACTGTGTGAAACATAGCTTAATTTAATATTTATTGTTATTGATTAACTTATGTATTATTTTTATATCTACAGTAGAACCTCTTTAATCCGAACCCCTGTAATCCGAACGTCCACTAATCCGAACCCCTCATTGCTGTACTCTATACACAGTACAGCAGTTCTTTATTGTATACTGTATTTAATTTACAGTACTGTTTATTCACCATGTTTACTACTGTATTAAATAAACACTGTATTTTACTTTATAAAACATTTTTTCACTTTTCCCAAAATAATGTTGATCAGTTTTAGCTATTGTTATGTAAAAACAACAATATGTTCTATAATCCGAACTATTCAATAGTCCGAACTACCCCTGGTCCCAATTAGTTCGGATTAAAGAGGTTCTACTGTATCTCAAACTGTATGTTATGTATTTAAACTGGCTTTGTAAATAAATATATATATTAAATTGCCAATCAAAACTGGTATTTAAGTAAATTTATTGAGCTTGCTACTTCAACTAAAATATTTCTTACTATAAAATGGCTAACCAACACAAGAGAGTATGTTTTGTTATATATATTCTTATTCTATAGGTTTTGCAATTTTGAAATACTTAAATTATCAATTGAAGCATACGCAATAGCATACGACATCAGCTCGATGGATTAAACACGGAATTAAACATATATTTTCACGGTTGTGAATTTAATCAGAACACATCAATTATAAAAACCTAGAATGTACGGCCCGGATTTTTACCCCCGGAATTTTACCCACTGGCCATATATAAATTAGTGAGAATGATTTATTATCTTCATTCAGTTTTAATTTAATAGTAAACATTTTATTATTAAGGAGCCTATTTGTAACATTAACTAATCAAACAGGTTTTTAATTTTAATTTTTTAGATTCGAGTACCAGGATTCGATCTTTGATCTGTTGGTTAATATAATCAAAATAAAACAGCGAATTCTGTTTACTTAGTTGAGATTACAAAATAAATAAATAAAGATGGGCTACTAAATAATGAAATGCTTACAATTAATTAAAAACAGAAATAAGAAAATCAATCATTCAGTTTCTCAAATCGGCCAGGAGGTAAAATCCGGGGGTAAAATTCCGGGGATGAAATTCCGGGGGTAAAAATCCGGCCCGTACATCTTCAGTTGTCTAAATGCTAGTTATATGGACAGGGGGTAAAATTCCGGTTTTTATCGCTAATCTAATTAATCACGCTCTGACTATTTTCATTAGACTTCCAAATCTGCGGGGGTAAAATTCCGGCCGGGAACAAACTTTTGGCCACTCAGGTTACTATGTCATTGTGACGTCAGCTTTGCCCAGGGGGTAAAATTCCAGGGGTATAAAATTCCGGCGACCCCTTTTATGATATCAATTATGTTGTTTTGGGGGGGGGGGGCATAATGCCCTTTCATATATAAGGAAAACATTATCAAAATAAAAACCGTAAGTATAAACATGAACTACATGAACTAAAATGTCTGTATTCAGGTTCAGTATTAAATTTAAACAAAAAATATTAAAGATCCAAAAGTGTTTGCATGAAGAAGATAGGATCAAAATCAAAATGTACATCCACAAAAACTTAGTCATTGTACAAAACCCTTGTTTCCAATTAATTGAACAAGATAAAAGAGAGAAAAGAATTTATTAATAAAAATAAACACGGCTGCCTTACAAAAATAGGTTGCCAATGACACAGAAAAAAATACAAACTTCATTTTTAATACTAATGCACCCGTTGCTCGAATTTGAGCAATTGCAATGCATTTCAGGCGTTATTTCAAAACGAATGATAGTCACAATTTCCGATTATTTTAAAGAAAAGAGTCAACTCAAAGATAATGTAATCAATCACTCCACACCAGTTATCGAAACTGAAAACGAACTCACTCTGAAAACAAACGCTCTTGTGTGTATCATGTGTTCACTATAATTAGCTGTAATTAATACAAACTGTCTGTTTAAGTAAACAAAATCATTTCTTCATAAGATTTACATTGGGATTTTGATGGCCTGTGGGGCAAAGCCCGAGGACTTTTATCATAGTTATTGGTGAAAGGGGGCGTCTACACAAAAATACTTAATTTTGACACATTGTTTGTAAAAATCCGTCCATTATTAACGGAGGAGTAGTGTTTCGTAGAAATCGTCTTCACATAGATTAACTTTGATATTTGCAATATAAACCATTTCTCATTATAGTCAATGAACCTCTTAATGTTTCATGTACTGTGCCTATAATAATGTCAAAAAGGATTTGTCCAAATCATATTGTTTCCATAAATCCACAAAAAAATCTGGTAATGTTCCTCTAGAACCAATAAACAATCCAATGACCTACATTTTTGAAATTTTTAAATGTTGCTTGAAATATTTCAACTAAAAACATTTTTTTTTATTTATTTTTTTATTTTTTTTTATTCTATACATTTATACATATATTTGTAACTTATAAATTTCTTAAAACTAGAGACTGCTCAGAGCTTGAAATGCCCTACAATAGTATACCCACATTCCCCACAAAAGCTCGCCTAAACTAAACCCTCCATTAGATAGCTGAGTGGTTAGGTTATACCGGGTGTCCAATACCACCCGCACACCCCTTTCAAAACGATGGAAACCTTTTCTTACAAACAAAAGATGATACAGAACTAAATTGGGCACGGTCTATCAAATGATGATAATTTCAAATCCAAAGAACAGGAAGTGGCTTTTTCAGACCGGAAGTTGAATTTTGTTTTAATGTAAACTACCAATTTTGATTACAGAATCCGATTCTTCGTTGAAAAATAGATAACTTTTGTCTAAAACATTATTTGAAAAAAACTTATTTTGTGCCTCTAATACCCTATTAAAGTCAATAAATTTGGGTCAATAATTTTCCATAATTTTTCCATCTGCCAAAGTTACTTGAAACAATAATAGAGAAAAAAAATAACAAAGATTACATAAAGACATGTGATAAATAGAATCAGCTGTTCATTGTAAACACTATAGTAATTGAGTAAAAGTTGGTCTACACATTGCTTAGTTTTTAATTTTATTTTAAAAATAAATCACTTTTTTTACATTGAAGTGGTCAAATGTAAATACCCCCGCCGCAGCAAACCTGCCGACTAAGCGAATTTCCATTTGTCTGAATTGATTTTCAGTTAAAAATATTTTAATAACATTAGGTTTAACGAGTACCTAGGTTTGCTGCTACAAGGAAACTAATAAAGTGTGTTTTTGAGTAAAATATTGATAGCTTAGTACAAAATAAATAAATTTGCCAAGTTTTATCAAAATATATCCATAAACAAGCAAACTACAACATTTGACAATATTCTCCATAAGAATAGCGTGGGAATTTTAAATTTACAATTTTTTTAATTTTCTCCGTTACTAATAATCGAACAAAAATACTTTTGTATACCAAATTATTTGTTTTTTTTAAGCTCTTTAAAAAGGTCTAAAGAGAAATCGGGACATTTTGTGTTTTGAGGGTCAAAAGTGAGAAAAAACCAATTTTTACCCCATAAAACCCCCGTAAAACCAGGTTCCCATGGTCCGATCGTGCTGGTTCGCGAACTCCCGCTTTACACCTTTAAACCAAATTTCATCAAAATCGGACAAAAATTACTCAAGTTATCGCGTTCACGGACGTATATATATATATATATATATATATAAGTCTATATATATATATACATATATATAAATTTGGAATGGTGTTTTTGGCCTCTGGGGACATCAAAATGAAAAAGTAAATCGGTCCCGGGTCTAGGTCTTACCGTGCCACCTACGGTAATAGCTACTTCCCTATAGAGAAATTCGCTAAAACCAATAAAAAAAAAAATTAAATTAAGTAATGTGTAGACCAGCTGTAACTCAATTACTAAGGTGATTGCAATAAACAGCTGATTCTATTCATCATATGTATTTATTTAATCTTTGTTATTTTTTTTTCTCTATTATTGTTTCAAGTAACTTTGGCAGATGAATGATTTAAAATGATTGACTTTAATAGGGTATTAGAGGCACAAAATAAGTTTTTTCAAATAATGTTTTAGACAAAAATTATGTATTTTTAACGTAGAATCCGATTCTGTAATCAAATTTGGTAGTTTATATTTAAAAAAGTCAACTTCCGGTCTGAAAAACCCACTTCCGGTGTGATTTTGGATTTGAAAATATCACCATTTGGTAGACCGTGCCCAATTTATCTAGTTCTGTATTATTTGTTGTTTGTAAGAAAAGGTTTCACTAGTTTTTAAAGGGGTGTACGGTGGTTTTGGACACCCGGTATAGTGCTTGCTTAACAATATAATCAATCAATATGTTCCTGAGAAAAGTAGTTTTTTCATGGTACAATACACTAAGCTCAGCTGTCAATGATTCTGGCTAGAGTAACATCTGATCTATAGTAACAAAGCTTCGCATATCTTCCCCACGAATACTAGAATAGAAAGGACCTTTCCTAGTATTCGAATGAGGCGAGTACTCTCCTCATGGATATACATGGAAATATTCACCCTGTATTATAATTCATTAAAAAACATACGTAGGTCCCGATCCCAACTTAGTACGTTACTGACTAATTTTTTGAGAGGTTGGTTCGTTTAACCTTGCATTTGCCCGCCCATGGGTTCATCATCACCTTAATAGAGTTAGGAAAGTTTAATAATTAAAAAATCTATCAAATTTACTTCAATAAGCTTTCTGGGTAGCAGATGAGTGAGTATTACAGTGCTTTTGCGTCTCTTTCGATACTTAGATGAGAAAGTATTTAATGCATTGGAATGAACCCAGTTTAATCAACCCGATTAAAAAAAAATACATGCTGAAGAACCAGCTATTATTCATAAAATTCCCATCTCTCACACGTCTTCTCCAAATGCACCAGGGTGTGTAAGAGATATTCATGTAATCATGTAGGAAGAGGTTAATGTTTTCAACATTAACGATTAGTTACATTTAAAAAGTATTGCCATAACTTTAAAACATTATATTTGTATGGTTCGTTCTTGCGTTGTCTCATCGCTTGCATCTCCACTATTCAATCCGTACAAATAATCCAATCTATGATTGCATAATTTTGGATTTAATTTAAACGTACACAACATCTTTTGTGTTTACCACCTCTCGACCGATCCCAAACAAGTTTGTCAAACAATATAAACAAAAATGTAATTGGTGTTTAATCGAGTGTTTAATATTTGTATTTACAATAGAGCAAGAATCAATAACCCATGCATATTGGTGGGAATTTCCCCGCCGTTCCGCGCAAGTCTGGGCAGCGGGAGGTGACCCCACATTGGGAAAAGTTAGTTGTCCCTTATACGGGATTTTGAGTTGTTTACGGGATAAAAATAAACGCAGTTTAAATATTGTTTGGACCAAATAAAATGCAAAGTATAAGTGGACGTCTAAAAATTCAGTTGTGACGCTTGTATTTATCTACAATGAGAGGTAATATTGATTTATTATTATATCACCAACTCGCTGAGTTGAGTTTGGAACCAAGACGCGCGTGACGTGCAGCGTTTTTGGTACGAAGGCGTTGCTAGTATCTCAAATCAGTCTAATTTTGTTCAGATAGAATGTCAGAATAGGTTTTTAACTTCCTACCTGTCAAAGACTACAGGTTTCTTTTGCTGTTTTGTTCATTTAAAAAGAGAAGACAAATTTTCTTAGTTTTGAATCAGTGTTTTTTTTTTCATTTTATTGCAGTTAAAGTGTTACTCGGTTACCCAAGTTTGTGAAATAGTAAGAGAAAGTTAATGTGTATTTAGTTAAGAAGTTGGGGGTGGTACTAGAGTGCGGGATATTGGGATTCTTCGCCTCAACTTGCGGGATAAATGGAATTTATCGTAACTAGGCGGGATATCCAATGTTGAGTGGTAACAGTGAGAGACGGGTTTGCAGCATCAGATCAGTCTCAGTCAGTTACTCATCTCTGCTGAGTGAACTGCTGAATCCTCAGTGCTGACGTACTGTTGCTGCTGCACCTAGCCACAGTCTGGACCCTAAACCTTCATCTACCGTCGACGCCGTCCTCATTTGGATGGCTCAACTTCTTCTGCAGCCGTGGAACACTAACAGGTGGGTTGTCTCAGCTACCGGTGGTTAGCTCGTAGTACTACGACCAACTGGTGCGCGCGCGTGACTGCGACCTTGTAGTTGAGGCCTAGTATTTTCTGCGAGGTTTTAGAATTCTTAGACATGCTGTCTACAACATTTTTTATGTCAAACTTGTTTCGTGTCCATGTGGAAATGAATATTGGAAATGTCCAAAAAATAATAAAATAAAAGGCTTTTGCCACTATTGAATTTTAGGTACGATGCAATAAGGTTTGTCACTGAATCTGCTATTTTAATGATTTTAGTATCGATAGACATATACCTAAAATTCAGGGATCTTACATATACCTCGTTTGTTAAGTTAGGTGTTAGTAAAGTTTATGATTGTCATTTGTCAGGGTTATTTTCACTGTAACACCAAAGTACGTTATTCACGTCCTTTTAGGAAAAAAATTGGAAACTCGAGGGTGCATTGGAACTTTCGTTATCTCTGAGTAGAGGTATTATAATTTGAATATATTCCAACCGTAGCTTCAATCAAGATGTTATCCCTAAGATTTACAATCAATGAAGAGGAGGCTATGATGAAACCCGTCTTGCAAACAATTTGTTGTGATTAAATTATTGACTACCTTCACTTTAGGGCAATGACATGATCAGAGGACTTTGACAGTTTATGTTCTGAAATCTTTACTCCGTAGTGAAATTCCGGATAAAATGACTATTGGCACAGACAACACGGTAATATAAGTACCATAAATAAAATATACTCTGGTTATATAGCCAAGTCAATGAAAGTACTCTTACTCCCTCATCTTCACTAATTGTTAGAAACTCATCTCATAAGGGGAATTTTTAAAGCAACTTTAATGGTTACTGATTAACTTGAAGAAACCAAGCTCTTTAAAACCAAGAACACATATTTTGGGAGTTAATGCCACCTGGGACATGTTTCTGTATTTATATGCAAAAGATCGACGAATCCAAGTGTTGAACCTCCATTTAAATGTTTAAATATATGCATTAATAATTGAACAAACACTCTTGCTTTCGAATGTAAATATATAGCTCTAAACACATTTAATTTCATTTCAAAATCAATTATTCAATTATTTTTTACAATTACAATAAAACTTAATCAATATTGAAAATTGTTTATTGAATTGTGCCAATTTATTCTGAACCTGGATCTAGTAAATTCAGTTATGTTTGTCATTGGCTAAAATTACGTTCGAAATTAAAATTTATACATTAAAAACAATATAAAATCATGTTAATTGATGAAACACCGCTTAAATGGAGTAAAGAGCAATTGCTGGATATGTTTTGCTTTTTTTAAATTTGATGTTGTGAATGGGTTTTTAAGTTATTAAGAACACTTATGGAACGTATTTCCGGCACAGGTGGGGTTTTTGTTTGAAAAGAAATACTGTTGTGACTACAAATTCTCTTAGTTCTTTTCCTCCACAGTAAATATTGTAACATAATAATTATGCTGATACTTTACTTAGTAATAAGAACCGTTTAATTTAACATTTAATATAGAGACGTTAAAACGACCGAATAGCTCCCATCATCCTCCTTTTCGTCAGCCAAATGGACAGATATTTACTGTATAATAATTGTACATTTTATAGTTTTATCGTATAGGCCTACTTTTTATAAATTAAAATTTGTACCAGTAAAAGGACCTTATTTATACACATTTACCTCTTCTCAAATAATATTATAATTCTATCAACATTTATAGAAATTCACTATTTTATTTTTTATTTTTCACAAAGAATACATATTTTATTATATCATGAATTAAATTGTATATTTTTTAAAATAGATGATATCAATTACCTCATTGAGTTTTATTTTTACTAATGGTTTCTGTTAATGACGCTGGACTTTTACGGTGTAATATACATTTGTGTTGTATTATGTTATCAAAAATGTATAATCTATGGTACTTCTGTACAAATCTTTGTGATACAAAATTTTACTCTATGAAAGTGGTAAATTCCATTCTTTGTAGTTTTGAGTTTTGTACTGTAGGCATGTCATGTAAATGTAAACATAAACAAAACAAACCGCTTAAACTCAAACAAAACACGGAAATAAAGGCTATATCACAGTATTTTGAGGTCATAACTCTTAAAACCTAATCAGAGTGATATTGGTCTTAAGTTTTAAGTATTTCATTACATTTACGATGACATTAAAAAAATAACGGATCAGTTTTTAAGCATTTCGCCGTGAGGACTACTTAGGTAAGTAAATACAACGCCTGAACTCGGATAGGCTACCTTAAGATTGTATAGGTAGGCCTAACTACTGTTGAAGTTTTAGTCAACATAGCTTTATATTTTGCTACAAAATATCTAGATAAACACCAAGAGTTTTTTATTGGATCTGACTTGTAAAAATGTGGTGTTGGGGAGGGAGAGTAGCCTATTTCTGTCTTTTTCTGCTTGCATTAACCTTAATACAGTAGACTCCCTCTTATCCGGACTTCTTGGGACCGAGGCCGGTCCGGATAACGAGTTTTCCGGTTAAACCGACGTCCCCAAAACTCGTAAAAAGTAAAAACGGACTGTTTAACTGCGTATTTGACTTAAATTTAGGAGAGCATTGTATTTAGACACGAGAACACTGGTCTAAAATCTTTCCCACAAAAACGGTTGTTTCAGTACCGCCCATTTCCTGCCGATTTAGTTCGGTTAAACCAATGTGCTGATAAAAATTGTCAGGTTAAAGAAAAGTCATTTCCGCCGAGTGTAGTCCGGTTAAACCGATGTCTGGTTAAAAGGTGTCCGGATGAGAGTGAGTCTACTGTAAGTTAAAATGATTTAATAGCTTTCAATACCACACTTTCAAACATACTTATTCCTTCAAACTAGGTAGTGTTCTAAAAATGTGTTGTATAAAGCACATGTATACAACACGGTCAATTACACTTGCTCACACAAATTCCATCTAATCTTCCACTGCACCGGCTCTTTGAATGTCCTCACAGGTTCTTGTTAAATAAACTAAAATTAAATTAATGTAACCCCTACCAGGGGGCAACTGTATTAACACACTTATGTGGGGTGTTAAATAAAAGGGTGTGAGTTTGCATTTTTTGAAGAGATATCCTATTTAATAAGAACGAATTAATTAAATTATAAAATAGATTTCTTTTTTCCATACAATTTACAATCAGCACCATAGATTTAGGATTGAGGAATTGTTTTTTTTTTCAGACTGAACGTGACAAGCCTTGTTTTGTGTTATTTAAGATGCAAATTAGAAATAAGACAGTCAGTAGTATTGTTTGTGACTTAGTAGAGGGTTGGTTGCTTGGTTAGAGCAGTTTTATGTTAAAATATTGAATGAAATCATTTGTTTAGCCTTGTCATTAAATAAGACGATGTGGCTGATACCTCATCCAAAACCATTAACTAACTGTTATCTCAATTATCAATGGTATCAAAGTCTATTTTTAAAACTTTGACATGTTAGTCTAAGAATGAATCAGCTATCTCTCTGTTCCTATCTGACTTGAATCAACACCTATCATGGTTCTTGCCAAACATTCAGGAAGTTCTTTTGCAGTCAGTAATATAGCTATTTTACGAAACAGTTTCATATTTTTTCTATTCTACTCGTAAAATAATTAGAACTCAAAATTCTTTACAAATGAGGCAATAATTTTATAGCAAGCCAGCAAATACACACTTAAGCAGCTCTTTCCCATGGGCACTGATTTCTTATGTATACAAACAGTGTTTAAAGCTTAATTTTTAGTAATAATGCAGTGCTAATTTTTAATATTTTGGCTTACCAATCAATTTTATTTTGTTGCAAACTTAGTAGGCATAGCTATAAAAGTTATGTGGATTAGAAGTTATGATTCCATAGCAAACATCCAAACTAAGTTGGTTCTTATTACATAGTGGTTTAAATCTGGTTGTCTTGCTTTCAGATAAATCTTTGAACCTCAAAGAAACAATTCACAATTAAAATGAGCTGGTAAGTAGGCTGCTTTAGTATATTAGGCCTATATAGCCTAAACCTAATTAAAAAAAAGTATATTAAATTTACTCATTATAATATGTAGGCCTATTATTACAGTAGCGTATTCTCAAATACCACAATAGACTCTCCTTCGGACACCTTAAGTCTAGTTCCTTCCAAAATGCAACAACTACGAACTAGAAGAAAACAAAATATGTGATGTGGAAAGCGAAAAGCGACTTCTTGTTGGAGATGCAAAATTTTCAGTACGGCCAATATAAGTAATTAAGGTTGAAAATATTGAATTTCGGGGTTTTGTCGATTATTATACCTCATTTAACATAGAACATGACAGTATTGGTTAAAATATCAAATTGAGGATGCAAACGGTCTAAATAAATCATTTTGTTAGCCTCTGCACGGTCTGAGAAAAGGTACCTCTTGTTGCTCAATGTTATTTCGCCATAACGACAAGAGGTCCCATTTCTAATATTCACTTTTTAACAGATTTTAGTCCAAAAAATCAATTATCCTGCATTCTAGTGGAAATTTAGAGAACTAGGCTACATCAAAGTTCAATTCACAGAGAACAAAATATCTCAAAAATGTTGTAGTCCCGACAAGAGATACCTTTTCTTACCTTATGGAGAAATAACAGGGCCGACAAGAGGTCTCTTTTCTGAAATGTGAATTTTACGACATGCTGCAATAAAACAATTATTTAAATCAAAACTACCATGAGTTAAGACAAACATTTGTATTGCTTCCAAAGAGGTCATTATAAGCTTTCTTTTGATACCATAATCGTTTCTTAAATACGAAAAACACCGTTTTTACGCATATTCAAAATGTTTAAAACAGTTTTTCTCAAAATGACCCTTTTCCATAACAAAATTTCAAAGTCCTATAACTTTAACAAAAAAAAAAAATTACATGCGTGAAACTTGCACCAATCGATTAGGAATTTAATAAGGTATTCAAATATATACAGGGTGTCCATAAAAAACGTTTCAGGACTTTGGGAAATGAATCCCCATACTAAAAGGAAGAAAAAAGTTTATGGGAAGGTATGTCCGAAAATCCATATTTACGCAGATATCCGCCATTTTGTTTTTTATACAAAAATATTTTTATCTGTGAAGTTTTTTATTCGATGATTATAAAACTTGGTAAACATGTTACCATACACAAGACCTATAATAGAAAAAATAATAAAGTTGTTCCGATTGTAAATTTCAAAATGGCGGCCGTTTGAATTTTTCTAACTTAAATAACTCGAAAACGGCTAATTCTATGAAAAAATGTCAAGAGTACTTTTTTTTAGCATTTTTAATTTCCTATCAAACGATACCAAGATCAAAAAGATCGGACAAAAGATAACTGAAATATACCGTATTGTGTAAAAATAAGGCAAAGTTAGTCGGGGAACCCTTAATTTTTGCCTTATTTTTACACAAAAACCGGTATATTTCAGTTATCTTTTGTCCGATCTTTTCGATCTTGGTATCGTTTGATAGGAAATAAAAATGCAAAAAAAAAGTACTCTTGACATTTTTTCATAGAATTAGCCGTTTTCGAGTTATTTAAGTTAGAAAAATTCAAACGGCCGCCATTTTGAAATTTACAATCGGAACAACTTTATTATCTTTTCTATTATAGGTCTTGTGTATGGTAACATGTTTACCAAGTTTTATAATCATCGAATAAAAAACTTCACAGATAAAAATATTTTTGTATAAAAAACAAAATGGCGGATATCTGGGTAAATATGGATTTTCGGACATACCTTCCCATAAACTTTTTTCTTCCTTTTAGTATGGGGATTCATTTTCCAAAGTCCTGAAACGTTTTTTATGGACACCCTGTATACAACTCAAAATAGAATATTCCCGACAAGAGGTCCCTATTCGCTTTCCACATCACATATTAACAAGTCTGTGGTGAAAATACAGTTACAAGTCTAAACAGTATTTGAAAGTAGTTTTAACTAAAAAACAGTGCTTAAAAATGTAGGTTTGAACGCCTTAAACACCCTAATTTGACACAATGTAATTGGTTATAATTTTGTTTCAGGTATACTAGCCTCATTTCTAGACATCCTGTGGTGATTCTTGTGGCAGTTGCTGTCTTCTCTGTCTCTTGCATTATCATATCCCTTACAACAATCAAGCTCCCAAATTTTTCGGATCCACAGTTGGTGAGTCCAGGCCTATTTAAATTTAATTTTGTCCTCTCAATACCATTGTTAATTTGATTGATTGTGTTACTTGATATACTCTTAAAGGCTGGGGCACACAGAGACAGTTGAATTCATGAGAATGGACTCCTGCAGGCGGACAGCTTTTTTTGTAATGCACAAAGCCGCAGGAGCCCGCAAGTAGACGGAATATCCTTTCCCTCTTTTACCCTGTGCTTTCACTACTTCGGTGCTGTGAAATGGCATGTAGTGTTGTGCAGCCATGATTTAAACAAATTATACAAAAACTAATCAAAGAAATGGAACCACAAGTGGAACAGGATGGCAGTCTCTCACAAGTAAGTGTAATTACAAGGTGTCCAGGGCCCCATAAAAAAAACAAAGGTTTTCCAGGTCAAAAATTTCCAGGACAAAACTTGCTACTTAAAAAAGCAAAACTTACTTATTCATACCTGATATTAAAACCTCTTCTTCAAATCCCGTGACAATTTTTTGCGATCACAGCCACATTGGTGATCATATCTTTTGATCGCGGGAAAATTTTAGATAATTTCCCGAGATAGCGTCAACATCGGTGATGATTTTAGCAATCCTCGCAAAATCCGGGTGATGATTTCCCGCAATCGGGGCAACACTCGTCATAATCTCTTACGATGTTGGACATCCATGAACGTCTTGAAATTGCCGCAAAAATTTCTCTTTGCACTCATGCGCAGCAGAAAAAGTCCAAAGGAGGATTTTTAAATGTCGCCCTAGAGGTGATTCTATAAACTCTGTCTGCGTACTCCGGCATTCAGACAGATTCCTGTGTGCTTTCATATTTGACAATTTTACTCCGTCCTTCTGTGTGAGATCTTCTGTATCTGTGTGCGCCGGCCTTAACCTCAACTAATGTGCCTTTAATGACTTTTAAATCATTTTAATATTTTCTAATGGTGGTATGAAAATGGACGGATCAATTTATTTTAAGAAATTGAATAGAACTCCATTGTCAAATTGAAAGCATCCTGGAAAAGCTTTGATGAGCGTTGATGTGGCCTTTCTGGTTCTGGGACAAACTAAAGAACAATACTCAAATTTAGTTCAAGCCAGTCCAGATTCTCAAACCTCAATTCATATTTGTTATTTGTAACATCCTACTCTGAGGAAATATATCTAGATAAGGTGTCACATTGATAATGAAGTCGGTTAAACCAGATATTGTTGAATTGAACCCACAGACAGAAACTCTGGAGAGTTGAAAGTGCTCCAAGTCATGAAATGTCGATTTCCCTTGATAGGCTTGTTACATCAATGATGTTTTGATTTATCAAATATTTGTTGTAAGTATTTACTTATTTATGTTGCATGTTAAGTAAAAACGTCTTCTGTTCTTTCCAGGGCTTTGAAGCTCGGGGAACATTGATATCAACAAGACTGACGGCTTGGCAAAACTTGTTGGAAGCGACCCGACCCTCAGGACCCTTGACAAATAACCCTCTTGGAGACAGGATTGTGGAAGAGGAAGAGAGGAAGAAGAAAGAGAAGAAAGAAAAGGAAAAGAAAAGGAAAGAGGAGAAGCAGGACAAACAAACTCTTCATGACCAAGTATTTCATTCTAAGGTACAACACTTTTTCACCAAATCTAAAATTTTTTAGGCTACTTGTAGTTAAATTGAATATGAAAATAGTGCACCGTCGAAGTAGCTTATAGGCTATTGTGTCTTTATATTTTATCTTTACCGTATCTTTATATTTTATAGGGATTAATGACCGGGTCAGTGAAAGACTTTGCTAACAAAGCAACTAACAGCATATCCTCTGTTAACGTACACGAGTCTTCAACAAGAAGTAGGAAACATTACGTAGGAGACAACAATATCACAGTGGTAAGTGTAAATTTAATTACAGTTAAATATGTTACGTAAGTGTATAAATAATAAAACTCCCTTTACTGTTCACAAACTCATAATATTTTTAAGGATTGAGAACTTTCAACTGTTAAATAAAACTTTGTTGCAGGAAACTAATGATGATTTAGAGCTTTTTTCAAGCTAAAAAAATAGCAATAAAATAGGATGTAAAAAGATTTTTTTAACTTTTACAACTCTGGTAGATTTCAAATTAAATACTTTATTTTATAAGATGTTTAAAGTTAATGTCTTCCACTTATACTGCTCCTAAATGAATTTTCTAACCTAAACTCTCTTTCAAACTCTATCAAATGTACTTAATCGAGCTTAGCCTACTTAAAATGGGAAAGAGTCCATTCCTACAAGAGAAAAACAATAATACACTGTACACAATACAGCAATTAGAATATTATTTAGAATTTTCCAACTAAGGTTTCTCGCATCAAAGTCGGCAATGCTAACCACTAGTCTGCTTTTAACCTTTTGTTACTAATGTGTGTTATTTTTATAGATTGTTGTTGATGAAGAGGATCGTAATTCAAGTAGAATAAATAACAATTGGCTGGAACTCAAGAAACTAAATGCACCTTTGGAGGTAAAAAACTTTGACGATTTTGATGAAGAGGTCCTCGATAATCACTTTCATGACGATCACAATCATCTTGGTGAAGACGGGTTTTTTTGCAGCTCAGGACCAGGTATAAATGTTTGACCTTTATTTTATGTATAAGGATAATTAACAAACTGTCAATGATTGCCACAAGAATTGAGTGTGTGTGTGTAGAGTAGGCCTAGAGACAGTGAAAAGACCCACAGCAGTTTTTGGTCGTTTGTTAATTAAATCAAGTGTTAGAAATAACTTGTTTTTACCATTCAGCCAAACTCAAACAAAATACAACTTGTTTTTAACGATAGCATCTTTTATGACAAAAATCAAATATCAAAGCAACATTGTAGGGTAAAAAATATAACAACCTTAAACTTTATCACACTCTCTGAGTATCTCATAAAACCATCTCTCTTTAATAAACAAATAATAGGAGATGCTAGTCATGTAGGTGGAATGTCTAGTTCAGTATCAAAGACTTGATTATTTTTTAACCTTCACTCCTTATCATCTCAAATATTAATTAATTCTTTACCTATTTTGCTTCACTGCAGGGCCAGAGTATTCCCGGGTGGTTGTGTCTGCTAGAGGAGACGTAGACCTGATGACAGAGAAGGCTCTTAAGCAGGTTTGCCAACTGGAGCAATATCTCACCAGCCGTCCAGGCTACAATGACGTGTGTGAGAACATGCGCAGAGGCCAGTGTTGCCAACCTTGGTCACTGCCTAACTACATTGCCATGCTGCATAACCACTCATCGTGCTTCAACATTACGGTGAGTTGAATAATAGTTTAGGTCAGTTGGTACATCTCACCAGCTGCCCGGGCTACGACCTATGTGAGAACATTGACACGAGATCGCAAGATTTGCTCACGGGTGTTGTCGCAGTTGCAGGAGACGATGATAATGATTCTGTTACCGCAAGAGATATTCATGAGTCTAGATAGCCCTTAACAACAATAACAATTTCTGGGATTGCTGGAGACTATGATGATGTCCCTGGGAGTTCGGGAGATATTTAGCCACGATCGGGAAAGACGGTGATGATGTCTACACGACCATGTCCCTGATGTTCAGGATATTTCTGCGATCATTGGGGATAGTGAAGATTTTTCCTGTGAGTGTGAGAGATGTTTAATATTTTTCCGTGATCATGGAGAATGACCATATGTGTTTCTGTGATCGTTGAAAACGATGTTGACGTTTGTCTGTGGGGGGAGGGGGGGGGGGTAAACGATAGTTTTACTGCAATTCCGGGAGATGGTGATGATCTCCACGTGACCATGGCAAAGTCACAATGTTACTGCAATAGCATTGTCACTGATAGGTTATGTCACAGTCAGATTAAGTCTGACTAGCCGAGGTTGGATTAGCAGCTTTCTACTGTACATTTTAAACACAATCTTTCCAAAAAACGTGACTGACATTTTTTGTTTAGGAGGAAGATGTAAAAGAGACTCGGGAGCTGATAGAGAACTGTTCTCACTTGTACTACAGTCTTCGGCTGCTCCCAGACATGGTCAGCAAGGAGCTGCCGCTCGCTTGTCGTAGACACAACGCTGTGTACAGCCTGATGCATTACATTCTGGACATGTCGTTTATGCCTCCTAATGTACGTTAGTTTTTCTTAACCCTTAAAATGGTTATTTCTTGACTTAATAATTCTTATTTCTAACATTTTACCATTTTACCCCATTGTGAACACAAAAATCCAAATTGCTATTAAAATATTTTGAATAGACACACAACAACCAAGAGTAGGTCAAATAGATACCCCCGCTGCAGCAAACCTGCAGACTAAGTGAATTTCAATTTGTATGAATAGATTTGTACTTATTTGTTTCCGTATACAACAATTTCAAGTGTTAATTTCAAGTGCTTACAGTATAGAATTAAATAAATACATTTGCCAAATTTGATCATCATTTAAAACAATCAAACTACAACAGTTTTCATTTTATCCGTAAGAATAACATGGAGATTTTAAATGAATAGTTATTGATACTTTGAACAACGGTTCAATATACAAAACAAACAACTCCTTGATCATTCGCCTATTGGGTCTGATGATGATTGGAGTGTCCAATCGAAATCGATCACCACTAACCATCTTTTTTGTATATTTACCGTCTTTAGAGTAACAGTAAAAGCGTAAATATATGTTTTAAGTGTTATAAGACGTTCCGTTATTTACTTTCTGTTCAATATACAAAACACTATTTTTTAATCTCCTACAAAATGGTCATAGTAAAAATCGGACACTTTAAATTTTTAGCTTTAGCCATTTGTTTCTAGTTATAATTGCGTAAGTAAATGAAGATTTGGTTTTTTATTCTTGTCCTGTATGTTAACCGTTTGGTTCTGTTTTCTAATGGGTTTTATTTGTTTATTTCAGAGTAATGAGTCTGGTGTTTTGAGAAATACTGTGTTATTCCTACCGATGGCTCGCAGCTCGGCAGTTTTGGAATATTACAACATATTAGAAGGCAAAAACTTACAGATTGGGGACGTCTATGTCTCGGCTATTGATTTTGGTAAAATATTGAAACTTCTATTTTCTGCTAACTGTTATACCTTTTAGCAATGATTTTTTTTCTAGACTATAATGTAATTTGTCATAGCTGGATTTCAGATCTGTGATTTCCATACAAGCCGAATTTGAGATTCAACCAATATTTTGATGATCAAAATTTCAAATGTTTTGTTAAGGTTGGCCCAACAATAGAGTTAACCGGTCTACAAAAATAAAATAAGAGTTTTGATAAGATTTTATAAATAATTGCAGATAAGATACATGCAATACAGATAAGCTACACACATTACTGACGAAACGTCATGATGGGATAGCAAACAAACAGCTTGAAAAAAATTGTTATGGTTTGGAGCTAATAAATAGATTTGTTCTCAAATTTATAGAAGCTGTATTTAAATACTCCTTTCATTCCATTTTCTTTCCTTCTCACTTTTTCTTTCTTGTTTTATATCCCTTTGTGTGGTTGGAATAAAACTTTTACTGATGAGAATTCCTAAACAATCATATTGTGTCTAAATCCTTACAAGATGTTTCAAACTAAACAAGATTTATTCAGTCACATTATTTCTATTCATTTAAATTAGTCTGTGGTTGATTGGAATCTATTGGGTGGCTTTTAAATTTGGCTAGCTTGAACAATTTTTGTAAGGGTTTTGCAGAGGCTTGTTATTTTTATTTTTAGGTTTGTTTCATTACTACAGTGCATTATTGTAAATAAAGGCAGTAATTGATATAGCTAATAATTTGAAATTTAAGGATCTCAAATTAAATTGTAGTTTTGAGTGTTTTCCCTTGAAACTCCATAATTACCTGAGTGCTACATAAAAACATACGCAAAATAAAAAAAAAAAAACAAAGATTAACCGAGAATAGTGTAGAAATATTTAAAAAACTTTCAAGTACCTATTTTTTAAAGGAAAAATATTCTTGTTTATTCATGTAATTAATTGGGCAATGTGTTAAATTAACATGTATTCTGAATTTCTGATACTGATGAAATATTTTTAAGATAGATCTGATTGTCTGGATTTAACAGTAAACAGTATTTTGAGCCAAAACTTTATAAAATAACATCAGAAAGTAAGATTTTATTTTGCTCCTTTCTTCTTAATTTTTGCCCAAACTTAACCTTTTATTTTCAAGTTGTTTTTTTTTGAGACAACAAATAATAATTTGTATATTATACTATAAGAAAAAAAGTGGAATTTTTTTTAAAAATTTTAGCGATTGTAATAATTTAGGTTCTCACTTACATCCTTTGCTAAAATAGCCCTAGGGAGATTCTGACAATAAAACTCTTCGTAACAGCACAATCTGTTTGCAGGTCTGAAGAACACGCTGTTTGACGAGTACCTGATGCGCGACATGTGGCTGATTGCTATGGGAGCCGTGTTTGTGCTCGGCTGTATGTGGGTTTACACCGGTTCTTTTTTCATCACCGTCATGACCATCATTGCTATCGCTTTCTCACTCGGAGTCGCCTATTTCATCTACACTCTCATCTTCGAGCTACATTTTTTCCCTTTTATGAATCTGCTTGCTTCGATCGTCGCTGTCGGTGGGTATTGCAAGTGGCTAAAATTTTGTTTAGGTTTACGTAGTGTGTTGATTTAATTGATTCTGATGTGGGTTGATTCAAGGAGATTCGGCTGGTAAAGTAGTTTAAGTGGGACTTCAGTTCTAATGAACAAGGGATTCCTTTGCTGACCCCTTAACAACTGGTACTTTGGTACTTTACAGAGATGGTAAACAGGATATGCCATTGCGAGTGGCGATGACATTACAGGGTGGCCACAAAACGGCATTCCTGGGAAAACCAGGAATTTGATGGACTAGGGAAAAACCAGGAATTATGTGGGAATTTTGAAATTTCACCGGGAAAACCTGATTTTATTGCAGTTTTGTTGTATTGAGAACTCCTTCCGAGGCCATGGCTAAATAAAAAAATACCTTCTGTGGTCATGGCGAAATTGAGAATATCTTAGGCTGTCATGGAAGAATACACTGTGCGGTCAACGCATAATCGTGAACATAACCTGTGATCCAAGACAAAATCTTTATTTTTTATCAGACATTTTTGCGATCGTGTAAATATACGTTCGTCTTGACTCATCCCGAGTTTGGCCCGGACTCACTACTTAGGCTAGCTGTTGACCCGACTTGATTCGAAATATCGGGCTCCTGCAGACCCAGTAAAAAGATACTTTTGGTGTCTGAGAATAACGAATGGGAAAACCAGGTTTTGCTGCTTGGGAAAGATGTGTGTATATTTTAAGTTTAGTGGCAACCCTGAATTAAAAGATTGGTTTCATCACGACATTAATCATATCAAAATCACTAAACCCCCTCCAGCTAATCACTTTGTGCTGTTTTTGTTTTACAAATCTTTCTCAAAAACACTGTTTTGCAGGTATCGGTGCAGACGACGCCTTCATCCTGACCAAGATGTGGCAGTGCACCAAGGCAGAATCCTGCAACCTCACGATACATAGACTAGTGCAAGTGACGATGAAGCATTCCACCCTATCTATGTTTGTGACTACTGTCACCACAGCGGCTGCCTTCTTCTCGTCCTACGTCAGTGCGGTTACAGCTATCCGCTGTTTTAGGTTTGGAAACTTTACTATCCTAGGAAGTTTTCTAATTTTTTTTTATTTATTTTTTTTTTAACCACTTTGGTTAGGTATACAAGAGACGCATAAGAAATATTGGAATGAAATCCGCTCGGAGTGGCAAAGTATAAAGTTTAAATAAATAAATATAGGATGGAGAGGACACAGCTAACTCACCTGATGAAAGGTTGCAGACGAGTCAAAGAACACATAAAATCACACACATAATATACTTAATATTTCGCCTCTTTCAGAGGCTTCTTCAGAAGTAGGCCTAGATGGTAGTTACAAAACAACAGTTTAAATAGGATGACACAGTTTGAATTCAAAATGTCTGACAGGTTGTCCAACTGACACTGCACAAAGCACTAAATACAGGCACATTGCAATATTGTATTTACATATAATATGTATATTGACAAGCAAATTAGTTTTGTCCATGAAAACAAATACTTAAGAGTTAGCTGTGAGGGTGAGGATATGAGGATATTATCTAATGTTGAGGTTAGGTGGGGTTCTGGAGTTGGTCACAAACTGGTAAGCTAATTCCCATCTTCTGAGCATTGAACTATTGCATTGGTTCTTTGGCAATGATTTTAGAGCTTTTATGGTGAAACAGTCATCAAATAGAAGTTGGTGGGATAAGGCATGTTGTGCAACTGGTTTTTCTTTGCTAGTTTTAACATCATGTCGATGGCCGTTCATGCGTTTTCGGAGAGTCTCGGTTGTTAGGCCTATGTACTGGGCTGGACAATGTGAACATTGAAGCTGGTAGATAAGGTTCTCTGAGCTGCAGGTATGATGGCCTTGGATTCTGTAATTTTTATTATGTTGTGTGCTAGTAAAAGTTTCTGTAGGATGGTGTATCTGGCAAGATTTACATGGGTTTTCATTGCATGGGTATGAGCCCGGTCTTGGTTTCTCAGATGGTATTTTTGATGGATTTGGGAGTTTTGGGTGGACTAGCATATTCCTCAAATTTGGGGGTTGCCTATAGATTATGGAAGGGGCTCTTGAAAGGAGGTTTTTGGTTTGGCTGGAGGACTCTAGGATTTTGAAACCTGTTTTAAGGAGGTTGTTTAGTTGTTGCAGGCCAGGGTGGTAAGTGGTTATCAAATTTACTTGAAGATGGTTGGTATTTTTCTTTGTAGTTGGACGTGGGTTCTGAGCCGCTTAGATCTGAGATTTTACGAGAGTGCTAGGATAGCCTCAGTTTTCGAAGGCTTTTTGAAGTTGGGTTTGGTATTGTGTACGGTCTTTCGGTTCTGAAATTAGGCGATTTCCCCTTAGGGCAAGACTGTAAGGAAGTGATCTCTTGGTGTTATTTGGATGACAACTAGAAAAATGGAGGTATTGTTGGTGGTTGGTCGGTTTTATGTGGAAAGAAGATGTGGTGAGGTTATTGTTCCTTAGATGAATTGTAAGGTCTAAAAAGTTGATGGAAGTCTCAGAGAAATCCCAGGTGAAATTTAGCAGTCCAAAACTGTTGAGGTCTTCCAGGAACTTCCGTAGTGATTCTTCACCGTGGGTCCAAATTATGAAAATGTCGTCAATGTATCTAAACCAGCAGATGGGGAGGTGTTCACGGCTAGACAAAAACTTTTCTTCATAATTCCCTATGTAGAGATTAGCATAAGATGGGGCCATTCTTGTACCCATGGCAGTGCCCTTGATCTGTAGGAAGTGTTTGTCCTGAAATTGGAAATAGTTCTTTTCCAGAATGAATTTTATCAGTTGAGTTATAAACGAAGTGGTGGGTAGGGATCCTTTGGGTCTGTTTTGAAGGTTTTGAAGGTAGTTTTCTGTTGCTGTTAGGCCGTGGACATGAGGTATGTTTGTGTAGAGTGAGGTGACATCAATAGTGGCCATGAGAGTGTTAGCGGGGAGTGGTTGTCTGACATTGTTAAGTTTTTGCAAAAAATCATTGGAGTCCTTGATATATGAGGCCAAGTTTTGTACTAGCGGTTGTAGATAGGCATCTACGTATGAAGAGATACGTTCCGTTAAAGAACCGCAGCCTGATACTATGGGCCTTCCTGGCGGTGGTGTTATGCCTTTGTGGATTTTTGGTAATATGTAGATTTTTGGGCAGATGGGTTCTTCTGGTATTAACAGATTTGTTGTTTCTGGGGAGATATTGTTGGATTTGGAGTGTTTGTAAATTATTTCCTTGAGTTCAGCGGTGTACTTTATAGTTGGATCTTCTTTCAGAGGGAGGTAGGTGGAAGAATCACTGAGCTGGCGTTGGATTTCTGACACATAATCAGATTTATTCATTATCACTGTGGTCGAGCCTTTGTCAGCTGGAAGGATCATGATATCAGTATTTGATTTTAAAGTTGAAATGGCTTTTTTCTCGGCTTCGGTGAGGTTATGGAGTGTTGTAGAGGTTACGTTGTTTTCGAAAGTGGGATCTGAGATGTTTTGTACCAAGAAGTTGATGTATTGTTCTATCGGATGGTCTGCTGGTAACGGTGGGGGATCGAAGTCCGAGGGTGGAGCAAACTTCGCTAGGGAGAGCGCCACACTGTTGGATTTCGAGTTGTCTTGATCTTGTGAGTTGAAAAAATGTTTGAGACGTAGGTTCCTAGCTAGCGACATGATGTCTTTCACTAGGCCAAAATGGTCAAAACGGGGTGTGGGACAAAAACTGAGACCCTTGGTCAAAACTGTTTTTTCTATTTCTGAGAGCTGGTGGTTGGATAAGTTGCAAACTTGTTGGTCATTTGTAGAGGTTTCAGGGTTGTTTGGGACAGAATTGCTCTTGAATGGGGAAGTAGGAATCTTCGGTGGTTTAGGTAGAAAGGGTTTTTGGCCTACTGGTATAGGTAGTCCTAAGAGGGAGGCCAGACAAGGCCTATCTGAGATTAGAGGATCTGATGTGGTTGGGTTTGTTGGACTAGGCCTATAGATCCATATTGATGTATATGTATATGTATTTGATGGCATGCCACTGATGGCTGGTTTTACAGTTAGGCCCACTGGAGTTAGGCCTAGAGTAAGGCAAGAACTCAGGAAATGTACATGACAGGTAATTTTTGATAATTTGAAAGCATGTTGTTTGGCTTGTTTTAGCCAAAAGGAAGATAGGTTCATAGTGGATAGGATAGTTGGACAGTAACACTAAGGAAAGAAAGGAGTAAAGGAAAGAGTGAAAAGATTTGTCACTTTAAGGTTATGTTTTTAGGAAAAAGCATTTAGCTTGGATTAAATAAATAAATATAGGATGGAGAGGACACAGACCTGATGAAAGGTTGCAGACGAGTCAAAGAACACATAAAATCACACACATAAGATCAAAAATTAAAATTAAATCATAAATTAAAATAAATTAAATTAAATTTAATTTATTTTAAATTTATTTATTTTAAATCTTTAAATTTTATCTTTTAAATTTTTAATTTATTTAAATCAAATTAAAAATTAAAATAAAATCACATAAAATCAAAATCAACATTAGATAATATCCTCATATCCTCACCCTCACAGCTAACTCTTAAGTATTTGTTTTCATGGACAAAACTAATTTGTTTTCATGGACAAAACTAATTTGCTTTTCAATATATATTATATGTAAATACAATATTACAATGTGCCTGTATTTAGTGCTTTGTGCAGTGTCAGTTGGACAACCTGTCAGACATTTTGAATTCAAACTGTGTCATCCTATTTAAACTGTTGTTTTGTAACTACCATCTAGGCCTACTTCTGAAGAAGCCTCTGAAAGAGGCGAAATATTAAGTATATTATGTGTGTGATTTTTTGTGTTCTTTGACTCGTCTGCAACCTTTCATCAGGTGAGTTAGCTGTGTCCTCTCCATCCTATATTTATTTATTTAATCCAAGCTAAATGCTTTTTCCTAAAAACATAACTTTAAAGTATAAAGTTTAGTAATAAATATAAAATGCTTTGAATGTTTTGCAAGGTATCAAATCTCAGAACCTTTTGGAGAGTTAGTTGTCTCCATTTCTTCATCGACCTTTTGATTTTGAAACCATAAACCTTCTGCAATTACTATGTTCCAAATGTTATTAATTTTGTCTTGTCCCACCTATGATGCATCCTAATCATTCTAGGACCCTAGATTCTAGCTCAGAACTGTTTTACACAATACAGTACTTCAGGCTAGTCCCAGTGGGCTACGGCATTATCACATACATAAAATCCATTGTTGATTGGCGGGATTTGATCAAGAGACCCCGGGCTCCGAAGCCCCAAGCTCTGCCACTAGCTTCCCCCAAATTTTTTACTCTACCTGTGTTAGCGAATTTCCCTATAGGGAAGTAGCTATTACCGTAGGTCTCATGGTAAGACCTAGGCCCGGGACCGATTTACTTTTTCATTTTGATGTCCCCAGAGGCCAAAAACACCATTCGTTCAAATTTTTATATATCTATATATAGAGATATATATATATATATATATATATATATATATATATATATAGATAGATATATATATATATGTGTCCATCCGCACGATAACTTGAGTAATTTTTGTCCGATTTTGATAAAATTTGGTTTGAAGGTGTAAGGCGGGATAAACTCGAACGATTTCGCGAACCAGCATGATCGGACTATGGGAACGGGGGTTTACGGGGGGTTTTATGGGGTAAAAATAGGGGTTTCCCATTTTTGACCCAAAAAAATAAAATTTTGCAAAATCTTTTTAAACCATTTTGTAGAGCTTAAAAAAACAAATAATTTAGTATATTGAAGTGTTACTATGCGCCTAATGGTTACGGAGAAAATTCCAAAAAATGTAAATTTTAAATTCCCATGTTATTCTTATGGAGAATAAGTAAACTGTTGTAGTTTGATTGTTTATGAACATATTTTGATCAAATTTGGAAAATGTTTTTATTTCTTACTAACTATTAACATAAAAAAAAAAGTTTTACCCTCCCTGATGCAGCAAACCTAAGTACCTGTTAAAATAATTCTATTTAAATAGGAAATAAATGTTAAATTTTTAAGTAGACATTTTAGTGTAAATCCAATCAGACATATGGAAATTCGCTTAGTCTGCAGGTTTTGCTGCGGCGGGGGTTTTTTGTGTCAAAGACTGGACACCGAAAATAGTCTAGAGTGTAGTCTTTTTGAACCAACTTCTTTGTAATGTAATAGATATCGAAAGCTGCAAAGACTCATGTTTTGTGACACAGTGTGTTCGCAGGACTAGCTGTTCTAGTGAACTACGCCCTCATGATCACATGGTTGCCTGCCTCCATAGTTCTGTCAGAGAGAGTGTGCTGGGCCCCCCTCCCCTACCTCACTACGCTACCTCTCAATCTTCTTGAGTCTGTCGGATCCTCATTAAACAAGTAGGTGATTTATACTTTTCAGTAGGCCTATTTTTTTCAAGAGCACTAGTAGTGGTTAGACCGTAGGAGTTCTGTCTTTGGAGGTAAGGGAAAATGTAAAAGGGACTCCATTTTTTAATTCCACCAGGTCTAGAGGGTGTTGTTGATTATCACTTAGATACAATCCATTGGTGATGGGAGGGATTTGAACCCTTGGATCTCGCAGACCTCAGTTCCGTGCTCTACCTCTAGGACAGCTTGCTCACCATTTAAAGGCACAAATAGATTTTAACTATGTGAAAATGTATGTCAATTGGTGGTTCATCCACCTAATGTGAGTTGGCAGTGTGACTCACTGTGAAATCAGAGAACCAATTTTGTGTGTTCGTGTCCTGGTGACGCCACTAAAATTTTATTAGTTAAGTTAAAGTTATTTTATGTTCCGTACCAGCTACCCGTGTTTCGCTTGAAATTCCACACACTGGGTTTTGTAGACCTATGTAGACAATTAAATTTTAGATTAAAGAGGGTGCTCTAAAGAAAAATGGAATGTAGCAATCAAGAAAAGATCTCTCAGAATTTAAAAACGTTCACTGTAAACTTTCACTCTTTTCGTCAAAAGCCTTACAAAAATATGATTTTTGAAGTAGCTCTGTGCTTCTAAAAGACTTACTTTGGACTAAATTATAAGATAAGTTAGTACTTACACACAATAGTACATAATTTAAATATTGGTCAAAACATTATGAAATCTTCAGTCATGTAATTTATACATGGGTAGTGTCTGTTGTATTATTATATATATCACTGTAATCTAGTGATAAAGATGTAGCCTAATGGATTGGTACATTGCTTTGTATAGGCTAATACGTTTTGTAATGTTGGTAGTCCTGCTGTTGGTTGCTGAATGTAATGATGTAATGTTTATGTACTGTTGACTGGCGTGGTGTCTCAAATATAATCCGTTTGAATCTGAAAGTGTTTTAAGAGTGGGCAGTAGCAGTCGGCCATATTGGATTGATGCCCCATAAGAACAATGTAATCTTTTGAACCATATAGCGCCGTTATTTTTTAACATAGAACTATGTTCGAAGTGTCATTGGAAAAAGAATACAATTCTACAGGGGGTTTGCTTTTTATTTTTTGATTAAAGAAATATTAAAATAATTATAGCAAAAATATGCTTGTTTAAGTTTACAAATTTGTGGAAGATTTTCTAAAGGAATATTTGAAATTCCAAAAAGCAAACCCCCTACAAAATCTAATTATCTATCGAATTAAGTTTGTTTCAAGAAGATCCGACGTAAACTGTGCACGTGATATGGTTTAAGAAAATTCATGTTTTTGCTGCGCATCGCGGCGGTAATTCGGCGTAGTCGTCTGGCAGATCTCCATGAGATAGCAGCACGCTCGCGCATTTGGCGGGAGTTCAAATCAGGTTATTATGGTTCTACATTCATCATGCGCTGCTAATTTTATAGCTTTTTTTACTTAATGTGGAACAAATATTGTTACGAAATTATTGTTATGATTATTGTTGTCATAGTTATTGAAAGAAAGGAAATGAACTGGGGACAGTAAGAAATGGTGTGGTGTTGAATACATTTTAAACTTGAATACACGTATAAAATATGTTGTAAATTTATCAAATACTATTTCTTAGTTCTATACTGATATAAGTACAAAACCAACATGTGTACAATCAATATAAATGATATGCCAGAGCCTTCCTGTCCCACGCAATGATTGGAAACGAGATACAGTTTAGTAGAAATATAAAATCTTTTAATACAATATATACATTTAAGGCATTAAATTATATTCGTTTCATGTGATAACGGGCAAATTTCATAATTTAACTAATATTTACAGATGTATTTTTGAACGAATTAGTCTGCTGGTATACAAAATTTTTCTGTTTGTAAAATACATTTTTAAATGCCTAAAATTCAATTACATAATTTATAATTATAAAATCAAACTGTCATAACCTATCCAAACTATAAACTATAACGATAATGAAGAAATCGAATCAAAAAGTTGGAGCCTCCTGAGGTTTCGAACCGGTAACCTTTAGAACGTTACTCCGGTGCGCTAACCACTACACCACCGAGACAAAATGTTATCTATAGGGAAGGAAATCTCCTAATCCTCTAGGTTGATCACAGCATAGATAGCTACCCCCTCCCACCTTGGCCGACGTCTCGGCCGTACACACTGTAACCACGAGACACATTGCACACGCCCCACCCCTACACCTTGTATTTATCATTTTCGCAAGTCACGTGATAATGTTGAAAAAACGCGCCAATTCCATCCTAGACATTATTGTGAACTGTGAGGTTATGTTCTAGGCTAGCAACCTAATTGGTCTGCTGTGTCCACAAGTCCAGTGACAAGTCTTTAGAGTTCCCTAGTAATAATTCGTAGTGCTACTTACTTACAAATGTAGAAAGTAATTTTGTGTGCTTCTTTTTATTTACGGTTGTGGTATTATAGGAAATAAAAAACGACCGTTGCGAAGAAAGGCGAAAAACAGAGGTGGTGAAAGGTTGGCTGAGTGGAGAGTATTGAGAGATTTTGGTGTTGTGGGAAGTAGAAAAAGAAAACTAAGTAGTGATGTTGAGGAGCTGATTGCTGATGAGGCGATGAGCTGTGGGGAAGAGGATGGAAATTTGTTACCTCTGAAAATTGTTACGCTGCAGCGCAGCGTAGTGCCACGCAGGGCAGTGTTTTGTAAACCACATGTTCGCTAGGAAACGCGCATATTATGGCGCAGCGCAGGGCAGGGCAGTGCTGTCCCGCACGTGGACTGCGCGCACTTGTGATCGAGTCACAAGTGTCTGTGCCGCATTGCTCACCTGCGCCGGGTCGCTTTACTAGTGTTTTGTGACGGATCTAGAGGATAATTAATAGAAATTGTGCGTTTTTAACTATTTTTTATGTTACCATTCATAGTAAGTGTATAAATAGTAATTACAAGAATGCAATCTGGGAGAAAATACAAAAAACATTAAACATTGCAAATTTTTTCGCCCTTTCTTTCTTGTTCTCTTGTGAAGAAGTAACAATAAATCTAGATCAGCACCTGAATCTGACTCAAAACTCAAATCCTAATATTTAACAACATGTTCACACAATAAACTGTATCACTCCTATACGAGAACTGCACGATACTGCTTCCCAATTTGCGATGTCAACTGTGCAACACAGACTTTTTGCCCAATTGCACCCTGTGCTGTGCTGCACTGCCAGTATCGTGCCACACAGCTCAATACAATATGCGCCTGGGCTTTGTAGACAATTCCACGCAATCATCTGATCCTACTGACTGTTTGGGCAACTGTGATATTACCGGTCGTAGAATAGTTGACATTTGTTATTTATTGATCAATTTGTCCAACTAAACATGCGCCTCAATTCGGCTGTTCCCTCAGAAACCTGAAATTAGTTAGTGAAATAAAAAGAGGGCTTAGGAGTGGGTTTGTGTTTGATTGCAACATGTGCCACATCAAACAGACAATATGGAGTGAGCCTGAACCTCGGGGAAATGCAATGTCAATGGACATAAACAGTGCAGCAGTAGCCGGTTCTATTACCAATGGTGGAGGATTTGTTGCCTTAGAACGGCTGCTGTCTGCAATGAATGTTCGTGTCATGAACCGGAAAACGTATGACAAACATGAAGAACTAATTTCGAAAGGTTTGGAGAAAACTTGCCATTTGGACACCAAAAGGTATAAAAACTGTAAAAATTGATCGGGACGATGACATTTGGGAAGTAAACATGAAAGAAAAACTTGAAACCTTTTATATGAAATGTTTACTTCCCGAACTTGTAAACTCACCTCACAATATTCATTTAGGCTAGGCCTATTCTATAAATGTTTAAAGTTAATAAGTTAACAAAGATATACGAATTACAAAGGTGTTTTATTGAAACAAATGAACAAACATGCAATTATTTTCATTTTGTGATGTTCTACAAGCCTAGTGTAAGTGTTTCACAAATTGTATGTTTGTCAAGTGTTGTTTTGGTTAGGCCTATGCCATCCACCATGATTGTAAAGTTGAACAGTATTTACGTTGGTAAGTTATTTAGAAAACTTGATCTTCAACTAATGTTTCCAACATGTGATGGATCCGATTTACCATTCATTAATGTAATTACTTAACTTGTTTCATTTTTGAGTAATCTCAAAATTGATAATGTTACACCATGTACATATAACAGATCAATTTAATTAAATATTATTCACCCTGTTTTTGCTTATTTTTCATGAGCATTGTTCCACTATTTTTCTTTCGTACAACACTTTTTTACTCTTAGCATTTTTGCGCTAAACTTTATCGTTTAGGAGCTGCATGATACAAAAAGTAGACCGGAAGTCATTTTTTCATAGGCTGTATCTCCTAAACTAGTGGGTTTATGTAATAAATATCACGAATAAAAAAGTTTTTAAATTGCATGTTCTATCCGAAAACATGATAAACTATAGGGTTTTAATAAGAAATGTCAATTATTGCTTTAGAAAATTTTGTATGATCCTTGTTCCACTTCAAAACTTTTGTTTCAAAACTGATTATTTTCCCATAGCATTCTCTATGATATAAAATTGTAACAGGCTAAATAACCATCCTAGATAAATCCACTAACAACGAAGAGCAGTGAGCAAAATAGAGTGTTCTAAGTAAATAAGCGATGGAAGTGACTTTAGTGCACTCCATCACTCCGAGCAAGAGCAGGGTGGAATCGCCGTCCAGTCCACTGACACAGTTCGTTCATCGCCAGTGCTAATGCGGCGTTGCCTTAGCGCCTGGCGAGGGTTCGGCAACACCGCGCCCGCGCTGTGAGTCACTTATCGATCGATACATGCCTGTGACGTCGAGACTGCCACGCACGTAGTTCAACAAATGTCCGCTCCACTCCACGCGCGCTAGTGTGCCAATTTCGGCCATTTCGGGATTTTGTTTTACTGGGACCCACTCTTAAGCTCAGAAAATTTATTTTTCACTGATGC